ATAATGTTTGATTTAGTAGATTAGATTAGAATCTTTTAGGAATAGTATTAGTTTGTTTGATTAGTTAAAAGAATATGATTGAAATAAATTTAAAACATTGATTTACTTTTTGTAAAAAATAATCATAATTCGTAATAAAAAATTATTTTTATTGTAATTAAAAATTTTAATATTAATTTTATTTTCTTTGTTTCTTTTTTTTTTCCGCTTTTTCTTCTTTCCTTCTACGAACCTTTCCAATTGACAGGCGACGGAATCTGGTCTTTGACCAAGCACCTAGGTGATGCCAGTGATTAGGTCGGACCACCACCAAGCATCGTAATCTTAGACTTGAGCCTTAAGGGTTTCCATGGTCAAGTAACATCTCCAACAAGCGTGTTTTGTGCGGCAAAACTTGGCCGGTGAAGCACCATTCAATGGCTTCTAGTAGCTAGATCCAGTTATTTGACTATTTTTATTGGTCTTTTTTGGCCGGACTTGGTCATTGAAAGTCCAATTCTTCGCACTTTGGACAACCATAGCATTTTGTTGACATAATTGGACAATTTTCCGACTATCGACGACGCTCATAATCTTTTCATTAGCTCTATTCCCTCAGCCTACTCTTGAGACAAAGTTGAGAATTATTTAGAATTTCTATTTTGATAGAGTATTTTTATTCTTTATCTTAAAGAATGATTAATACTACAGTGAAAAGAAAAAAAAAATTACCGTTCCGATCAAATTACTAGAATTAAACTTTTTGATCAAAATGGTAATTTTTTTTTTTGAAAATTTAAGCTATATTACTTAAATAAGTCGTTATCTGGAATAGACCTAGAATGAAATGACCATTTCATTGAGCCAAACGTAAGGTCATTTCTTTGCATGTGGATATATATATACAGAAAGTCGTTAGATGCCATCATTTCAAAAAAAAAGAGTCTTTGTATTTATCAAATGCGGAAGAAAGTTTACATATACAAACAAGACAAAGGGCTAGTTGTTCCGTATAATCAAATTAAGGGGCAAACTTCACTAGAAGAAACGTATACACACATTCATATTCCACAAACATATATATTTAATAACTAATTTGTCCTTGTGTGGAAAAGTACAACTTGGCTAACAGACAGAACTCGAAACAATACAAAAAACTATATCAGTAGCTTTCAAACGAAACTGGCTTCCGGACAATGCAAACGGAAAGACCGGAAAATGTTCACGGTTAACCTTGGTTTGAATGGAAGGCGTGTTGGCGCACATGGTCGTCAATGGACCTTCACACCATCAACTTATCCAATCATTTGTTTATCAGTTTCAAGTCCTAATCCTTTTTCAATCGGAAAGTTCCCCGGTTTCGTGACTGTGATCCAACCATTGGTCTCCACAGCTTTGAATCGACCCCATGAAGGTGATAATACGAAGGATCTCATCCACGCAAGAGATATGTAGGGTTTTCAACATTAAATAAAACTAGGGCTAACGCACGAAGCTGAAAGAGCTATGAAGGAATTGCGACGTCGGGGGGTGGTTTGATCAAGTTATATGGAGGGGAAATGTTCACACATTTTTATCAATGGGACATGGCTTTGCTGGTTGGAAAAATGTATCATTCATATCAAGAGAAGTCAATTATCTATTATCAGTTTCACCCTACAGGGCCATCTCGAATGAGCCATAAAACGAATGCAGGATACCAAAATTAATTCTTTGGACTTCAAAACTCAATGTATTGCATTGAATGGTCAATTTTGCAGTACGGGATAATTGATACTGCCTAAGCGATAATGTGGAAAACAGGCAATGGTCCCATTGGCTGATCTCCCATCCATTGCCACAGTCATTATAGATATTTGTAAAATATCTACACTGTTTTGAGAAGTGCATTTGCTAAAAAAATATCTTTCCCCCTTAACCCCATTTACAAATGGGGAACTAGAAATTACTCCTTCTAAAAGAATCAATATTTCACTTGCCTATTTGGGTTTTTGAAGCTTTGTACTAATTACCAGAAAAATCATACAAACAGGATTGATATATTATAATAAAAGATTTTCGTATACCATAATTCTATATAATACATTATATAAATTATTATTACAATATGTGTAATCTTAATTAATAACCAATTTCACGTACCACGTAGTAACATTGTGACTGATTGCACTACAAATATTTTGATCCGATATCTATACTAATGATTTACTGTCGCAATATGTGGAGACTTCTCCTCCGTAGAAGAGAAAAGAGAAAATGTGCATGAATTAATGGGTCAACGTGTATAAATCAAAGTAGTTTATTTGGAATAATATTTAATTGTAATATTTGTGCAAAATCTCAACATCTGTTAAATGAGATATGGATTTGTTTTAGAATATTTATATTTATTGGCATGCCAAAATCAAATTGTTATTCCTGGTACATTGCATTCAATTTTCCTGGAGCAGCTTCCTCCGACGGTCCTTTTGCAAAGATTTTACACCATCCCGATGATGATCACGAAGATCCTCCATAGGATCTCCTCTCCCGTGGTTGGGAAGGCTGTATGATAAGACCAGTGGGCCCCATCTTCCTTTTTCTCAGTTTTCCGTCGCCACGTGTGCATACCCTACCGATCAAAAATCTAACGCTCATCCCTAGGGCTCTCGATACGTGGTCCAATAAATACCTCCCGCGTGGCATTTGGCCCTTGGGAAAGTCCACCTTGGAGGGCATGATGTGTCGAGATTTTGTTGAGGCGGGCCCCATTAAATTCCTTCCCATTACCCACCTCAATCTTTTCTGCTATTTTGGTTCATCTTTTTATCTCTTTTATTGAACGCTTTTTGGATCATACGTGCGCACGTGTGAAGTACAAAGGGCTCAGTACGGAAGGGGCCACGTGGTGGGTTGAGTAACACTCGCGGATGCTGGCTGTGGTGGAAGGGGCAGTCAGAAAGGAGAGAAGGCGTTACGAATTTTCGGTGGATTGAGCTCAGGTGGCGGTAGAGGGGGCACTTGGCCTGAGGAAGCTGAGCAAGGGCAGGTGCACGCACGTGAAGTTGTTGGACAGGTACCACGCTCGTCTGCGCTCCCCGTCCCTTACCCTCACGTGCTTTTCATTTCTTGATTGTTAGGTTTTTTTTTTTTTTTTTTTTTTTTTTATTGATAGCTTAGTTATGCCATGTTTAAAATTGTTCTTTGAGGCAGTGAAATTGATTATAAATGAAGAGGAATTCGGAATTTTATATAAAAGATGATTCAAAGATAATTATATTGTATATATTATTATATATATTAAATTTTATATAATAATAAAAATTAAAAATTAAGAGGTATACCATTAATCACTCCTTTAACTCCACTTTTACACCATAACAAATTGCTATAATACATAGGATTATCAAAACTTATACAGTTGTCAAAAAGACATTTAAGGGTGACAAATCTACTAAAATATCTTAATTTGCTCTTAAAATTATATATTGCTTGCTACAATGATCCTTAGTGTTGGTACCGATCTTATTATTGGTACGAAAGTCGGATTGGGGTAAATCAAACGAGGAATTGATATCAAGTCGGTTCTCCTTTGTTGTAATGTCGACCGAAGATGGTGATACTCCAAACTTTACAAAGTGATAGAAAAAGAGAAAACTGTTACGGAGAAATCCACTAAAAGAAAAGCCTCAAAACTCATCCAATGATTGATGACAGCCTGGGAAACAATGCTTCCCATGCCAACACGTACAAATGTTTGATCGTTTACAGATTGAAGTTTATCGTGGGGAGAAAGCGTCTCAGGGCACTTGAAAAACATCGTTAGATCAGCCATTTTCAATAAAAAGCGAAGCACCAAATTTCCCAAAGCAGGGAGAGCCTGCCACCCATTTGTTGCAACTGAAGCCTTTTCCAACACCGCCAATCATGTGAATGGTGTCACACAACTCATTGAAAAGTTTTAGTGCCAGACAGACTGAAAGCCGTAACCTTTCTTTCGTTGGCAAAGTTTGGTAAAAAGGAAAAGTGGGGGAGAAAAAAACAGGATATCTCTGGGTTTTAGTCGGTTTTCCATTTTCTTTTCTCTCTTTTCTATCTACTTTTTGCCTAAAATAGCAAAATTGAAGGAGAGAAAATATAACAAGTGTGGTCTTGCAGAAAGGTGCGGACTTGGAGAGAGAGATTACAGGCAGCACGTACAGAGCGGGGATGATGACACGTGTGAGGCCCAATCCCGGTCGGCAATTGGCCTCAGCTGCTCTGGTTTACCCGAACCCCTTAGCCAGTTATGATAGGGTTGGGCTAGATGTTTCGGGTTTGGGTTTCTCTTCCAAAGTATTCAATCACCACGCCCTATGTAAGGGAGTTATTTTAAATATTTTTTAAAAAAGTAAAACTATTATTTTAATATTTTAAATTATAATAATAAATTTTCTTAATAGAAAATAGATAAATGAATATTTTCATGATTTGTGTAACTTTTATGCAATACAAGATTAGATAATTCCTTCCAAAATCAAATTTTGTCGGAAAAGATTTAGTTTCATTACAATAAATTAAAATAATCACTTTTTATTTTAACCCTTTAACTAAACGAACTGTTTAGAGCTAACTTCGTATTTGTTTTGGACACTTCATTTAAAAAGTTGGAATTGGTTCGATTTCATAGTGATGGTCCGGTGGTTGAAAATGTTGAAATTAATTTTATAAAAAGAAGTATTTTTTAACCTAAATAATGAAGTTTAGGACAAAGAATTACTTGAAAAGGAAATCTACTTATCCTAATTTTTATTTCCATAAAGTCGAATTTGGGTTTAAGAAAGTGAAGAAGTATGCATGAAAGTAAGGTTACCAAAGAATAAACTGAAAATAGTGGAGGGGTCATAATCAGGAAAACACAGAATAAGGTAGGACATCCCTGAGAAAAGAAAAAAGAAAACAAAAGAAAAGTGAAAGTGCTAAAAGCAAGGTGTTCCCAGAATTGTGGTGACGTCTGTCAAGCAAGCCCCCAGCTAGGCATGAGCCCTCCCCCTCACCCTCACGCCCTCACCCTTCAACTCTATATAAAACCCACCAGCTCTCCCCCTAGTGTAACCCACCCTATTCACAGTCCAGTTAGGCTCTGCCACCTCTCTCTCTCTTTCTGATTCTCTCTTATACTCTTCTGTCACCATGCAACTTTTCTTCTCGTTGCCAGCCTCACCACCCCAAACTTTTCTTGCGACCTTTACAACCTTCCGTCATTGTCCGGTGCGCTTTCTGAGTACACTAATTCTATTGTTTTCTTTGTTCCTCTTGTTGTTGGTGGTGGTGCTGCTGTTGTTGTCGATTCATCAATGGCGACACTCCAAGGACAGACGTCTGCCACCTGGTTCCATGGGTTGGCCTTATATTGGCGAGACTCTCAAGATTTACACTGAGAATCCGAACTCTTTCTTTGCCAACCGGCAAAAAAGGTACAGATATAACAACAAAAGATGGAACAGCTGGTTTGATGATAAGCTCTCCAGCTCATGTGCTAAAAGGCTAGAGGTTGAGACAAAGCTAATGATAGAAATTGTAACTAAAATTCTCTCAGTGCATGAAGAAAACAAATACGAAAAACAATTTCAATTTCCTTGTTGATTATTTTGTTTTTATTTTTTTTTCTCTGTAGTGTTTTTGGGCCTATATCGTTTCTTTTATCAATATATCCAATTTGATTATTCTTAATTTTTTTTACTTGTTACAGGTATGGAGATATATTCAAAACTCACATATTGGGATGCCCCTGTGTGATGATTTCAAGCCCTGAGGCAGCGAGGATTGTTCTAGTGACACAGGCTCATCTTTTTAAGCCAACTTATCCACCAAGCAAAGAGAAGATGATAGGACCTGAGGCTCTATTCTTTCATCAAGGTGCCTATCATTCAAGGCTGAAGAAGTTGGTCCAGTCCTCTTTTTTACCCTCTGCAATTAGAGGGTCAGTTTCAGAGATCGAGCAGATTGTTTTGAAATTTCTACCGACTTGGGAGAATACCACTATTAACACTTTGCAAGAAATGAAGAGAGTATGTCGGTTGTTACATCTATTTTTATCTTTTACTCCATGACTGCTCTCTCTGCACATCATCAGGAATCTTAAAGAAAGTTTTTGTTTTTATTTTGGCATGTTTTAGTATGCTTTTGATGTGGCAATGATTTCTGCCCTTGGCCACAAACAAGACTCAGAAATTAAAGGAATCAAGCATCTGTATCAATGCCTGGAGAAGGGTTACAATTCTATGCCTTTAGATCTTCCAGGAACTCCTTTCCGTAAAGCAATGAAGGTAAATACATATATATACACACACAATTAGGTTTCATTCTGCTTCTCTGAGAGTCTTTCATGTTGGACTCTTCATCCCCATTAATGAGTTCATCTTGTCTGTTTGAGAAAGGCACGGAAGCTTCTGAACGAGACCCTGACAAGACTGATACAAGGTAGAAGAAAAAATGAGCAACAAGGCGGAGGATTGCTGGGAGTTCTGTTGGGGTCCAAAAACCAGAAGGTCGATCAACTGAGTGATTCTCAGATTGCTGATAACGTGATTGGAGTGATCTTTGCTGCTCATGACACCACTGCAAGCGTCCTAACATGGGTTTTAAAGTATTTGCATGACAACAGAGATTTACTAGAAGCTGTCACAGTAAATTTTCTTCTCTTACTTCTGATGATCTTGGTTGATGAGCTTTTACCTTCATTTCACTTTGCTTTTCGGGCAATCATTAGAATTAAAAAAAATAATCAAATCTTGTTTGCTTTCCTATATTTATTCATTCTCAATCATATCTTGCAGAGAGAACAGGAAGGCATTCAGCAGGAAGTAATTGAAGCAAATCGCAGGCTTACGTGGGATGATACAAGGCACATGCCATTGACTACCAGGGTACATTACTTTCATTCTCTTTTACTATTAATATATCAACATTTACAGGACTAGACGTGTTTTTTTATTTATTACGAAATTGAGTAAACATTTTTTTTTCTAATAAAAAACGCACAGCAGATTTCAGAGATCAAAAACTAACGTGGATTTTCAGGTGATTCAAGAGACACTAAGAACAGCAAGCATACTATCATTCACGTTTAGAGAAGCAGTGCAAGATGTTGAGTTTGAAGGCTACTATATCCCCAAAGGTTGGAAGGTTCTGCCTCTCTTCAGAAGCATCCATCATTGCGCAGATTTCTTCCCTCACCCGGAAAAATTTGACCCTTCAAGATTCGAGGTGAGGCCTCAGACAGTGAAAGCTTTACCATGTGAATATACATTAACATAGACTCACAGATGTAGGTTATTATATATGTAATTACTCTTTTTTCTTTATAAAAAGGTTACCATAAAAAAAGAAGAAATATAAAGTAAAAAGTTAAATAATAATTGATTAAAAATGTATAAAAAAGAGCTCTTGACACTTGCAAAGGATTTATTTATATTTGGTCACCAATTTGTTTGACTTTTGGATGTGGGCGAATCATAAGAGTCATATTACTAGTTCCATATACTATTCTGTAACATATTGGGAGACCCTGACCAAGATTCGTGAAGTGGGTCATGCACTATCCAGTTTTGGCAGAAATATAAGGTTATCAATGGTTTATCTGATGCTGGTGTCCTTTTCATTTGTTTTCTGTGAATCTTCCTCTACTCAAACGATCTGTTGATGAAATCTTTCAAGCATCAGAGAGCACGTGAGCTGATTTTGTAGGGTAGTAACAGTGGAGTTTGAGTCTGAACTTTCTTTGGAACTGCTGTCTAAGATTTCAGCTAAAAGCTTAGGCCTTATTTCAATTAGCAGAAACGAGAAAGGAATATTACTATACTTTACTAAATATTGTTCTTTTTTTTTGTGATATTGCAGGTGCCACCGAGACCAAACACGTTCATGCCGTTTGGCAATGGAGTTCACTCTTGTCCTGGCAGTGAGCTGGCTAAGCTTGAGATGCTGGTGCTCCTCCACCATCTCACCATCGGCTACAGGTTAATTCCCTTTCTCTCTCTCTCTCTCTCTCTCTCCTTGTATAAATGATTTGAGATGATCCCCCAACTCGAGAACGTGTATAATTATTTTGTTCTTGAAAACGTAAGGTAAAAATAAAGCCACGTAGATTGGTGTAAAAGATTTCGTTTAAGAGTCCCTTTGTCTGCTCGTAGTTGACTTAAAAATTAGGGTACAGAAATGTGGTCCTCTAGGTGTTCCTTGGGCTGTGGAAGTGGTCCTACAATGCCAGTCATGGCGAGTTGGCTTTGCCCTTTTGGGGAATAATTATAAGGGTTTTAATTTCCTTCAATTTTTTCACCATGGGGCGCAGATTGGAATCAAGGGTCGGTGGTGGGTATTTTCGGGGGAGGGTGGTAGCATTCTGCATTGCATCTATCCTTACACGTGGCTTCCATGCGCAACATTTGCTGACCCTTTGCATGAGAGACAAAACCATATCTCCTTTGAGGAAAAAAATTGTTTAAAGCCTTTTAAAGACATCGTGATTATCCAATTTTAGCTGTCTATGTGTCATTGTTTTCATACGTAAAACATCTGCCAGTTTTAGATTTGTAGGAGGGTTTAATGCAGATACTGGGAACTAGAATGACAAAGCAAGTTTGCTTTGTCGACAATCTGGTGTACAGGAGTGCGACCCTGAATTGAATCATGAACTATTTGCAAGGTGAATGGACTCGTCCATGTCTTTGAGACATAGGTTTTAAATATTGTCGGCCATCCAAAACAACATTACATTTGCAGTCCACATCATGGATTCAAAAATCAGCGAATCCTGTTCTTCCTTCCTCGTATCTGTAATCTGATCAACGAATGAAAACAGGCCTCTTGAATTTCTTTATGTTCTGATCTTGACCGCCTGACCCTTCCATGCAACCAAATCACAACCCCCCAGACCCTCCCCTTTCTCCTCCTAGCAAGCTGACGGATTTAGCCAGCTGTGAAGTCTCGATCAAATGGGTATAAGACATGTAGGTTTTCCAGCTGTAGGAACACAGAGGCAGAATGTGATGATGCATCATATTGCTGAAGGGGTGCAGTCACTCATTTGAAGCCACAGCTTTCCTCTGCAAGTTTTACGCCACATCATTGCTTAGTTTGTCATCTTTTAAGAATACTTTAACAGCATTTTGACCTGGTCCACATTATCTATAGACTGATGTCTCAGCTGTTCGTCACTTGGTTTTGAAACTGCAAAAATTTCAGATAAGTGAGTGACTAATCAAAGTTGCATCCATGACATGTCCATTTACCTCGTGTGTATAGTTTTCGAAATGATTATCAGCTAAAATTTGAATTGAATCAGTTTTTTTCAGTGAAGCTGCACAGGATAGATAAGTGTCAATCGTCAGAAGTTTTGCTTCAATATCGTTTCTTTTGACAAAAACACAGATCTTGCGGCCATTTTCATTGAAAATTTTGCTCTTGTAACAGTCCAATTGTTTGGCTGCAGGTGGCAAGTTATGGGAGATAAGGATGGAATCCAATATGGTCCTTTCCCAGTGCCCATACGGGGCTTACCTGTAAAGGTCACCCCCAGAAAAATAAAGGCGGCATGAACAATAGGATCTTCAATGAAGATTGAAACTTTGTTCCTGGGGCCAAAAGCAAGTTACACTTGAGCTTTCCTCTTTTTCCCTTTCTTCTTCCTTCTTAGTTGCTAATTTTGTCTTTGGGAATCTTTTGTAATTGCTGGGTTTTTGTCCTGGGTTGTTCGTGGTAAAAGTAAATGTTGTGTATAAAAGCAAAAAGAATTAGCAAAAGGCAAAAAAAAAAAAAAGAAGAAAAATGTATTTGCAATAGTGCGTTTGAAAGCATGTTTGTTTGTTTTGGAGGATCAAATCTGTGTGGTCTTTAACGTGGAGGAAGTAGCTATCAGATTCCCAGATTTTTTTCCCCTTGCTTTTCTTTTCCTGGTGCATAAAGAGCCCAGAGATAACCTTTACCCAGGAAGGTTTTGGCCCATAGAAAGCTACCCCCAACAATCAGGCTGCCTAGCACGTGTCAGGAGTGGGTAGTGCACGCCAAGAACCCACGTCAGGCAGCGTTTCAACACGAGTTTGTGCAGTCTACGTGGGTCACTGCACCTGTCAATCCGACCCTTTTATGTGTGCTGAGGAGAATTGTAAGCTGAAATGGTACTTCAATATGGTCCAATTCTTCCTTATCAGGTTGCGTGATCCTTCATTACAAGACATTGAACTAACCATGACTTTTAACAAATTTCTCCATCTGCAACATGTTTATGTATTATGTATCTAGTGTAAAAACCAAACCGCCCAACATTGTCCCATCAATATGTGAAAATAAATCAGCAGCTGATATCCTCGATCTCTCGAGGTCGATATCATCTGTTTTGACTGCCCTACTCTTGACTTCTAACTAGTGATTCATCCCTCAACTTTGTTTAATCTGCCCCTGCAAACATGGATATGTTAGCCTTCTCTCTATCGCTAGTCCACGGCATTCATTTTTGTTTCCATCTCAAATACAGGAATGATGAAAAAGTATTTGTAGCTGGTCCCCACCTAGGTTAGGATTCTTAAAGTACTTAAGAGGACCAGGATTGGTGTCCATCACCATCAGGCCAATTGCAACAGATATGAGCTGATCTGACAGCTCACTAGCTGAGCCCAACTGGAGGACAGGTCCTTCAAACAACGGAAATTCACATAAAGCAACAATTGCAGATTGGAACACATTTCAAGCCCCACACATGGAACTGACACTAATCCATCTGTGGATTTGGCTACTATATAAGCAGAGTATTCGGCTCAAACAACATTTTGAAATTTGAACTACCTCTAAAAGCTTTGAAATAAAAGACAAATGCAAAGGGGTGCCCTCGAAAATGTTCATCATTCGAGCCCTTCCCTACTTTTGGCAAATGTTACTCATCATGTGGAACTTCGCATATGCATATGGCTAGGAATATGGAACAAACCCTTCTTCCTACAATAACTGGAATGGTGGTCAACCTGTGTATCCTAAAATGACATCTATATATAGGAACGTTTAAAAATCACATCAATATCTCAATCCCCATAGAATTTGCTCTTACACTTAAATCAGAATGTGGAAAATGCATGAGAATGAATTTTAAGATCCAAATGAAAGCGAACTGCAACAAAAACATTTTACAAGATGCTACAACAGAAAAAGCAAGAAGAAATCAAACTGTACACTCTAAGGATGTATTTAAAGCATGTATTTAAGATTTTGAAATTGACAACATAAAATGACAAGTACAATCTTGATGACATCCAGGAAGCCCCTCTCGATTTCAAAAAATGGGTAATGCATGGTGACATATTACTTTAGTTACAAAGATGTTACAGATAACAAAAAAATTAACTTTTAAGCATCACATGTAAAATATGGGAAGAATCAGTCATGCCAGCCTGCTGTTTAGGAACTCTCAAAAGATATTAAAGACAAAACAAGCAAGAAGAAGGAGAACCTGGGAATCCCTACCTAGAAAATTTGACAGAGATAAGAAGCCAAAAGAAGACCAATTACCGCTGTCTTCAAGTGGATGAAATGCAAAAAACATGAAAGGACACAAAAGAAAGTGAGTTGGCTTGATTGTTTGCAGAAGAAAGAACCTCTGAATATCTTTAAAGTAGAAATTATTGCAACCGAGCTTGTTTTTGCCAATGTATCTTTGCAAATATGTGGTGCAAAACAGGGATAAGCTGATGTGTTCTGCATCTTGATGTGTTGGCCAGCATGCTCGTATTAGGTGGCTTCCACATGCCCTGAGCTTTATCTCTGTCTGGAAATTCAGTCCCACCGTGTCAGTCTGTAGACCTCACCAATCATTGGAAGGTTGGTCACCAGTCACTAACATAGAGGGGGATCTAACGAAGTTGGTTCACACTGCAATGCTGTGCCTTTAGTAGATTCTGTTTGACAAAAGGCAACCACATCTTACTCTGATGCAAAAATGGTTTTGTTAGGTCATTTGGAGGATTACAAAATGATAGTTTTCACCATTTTTGTTTACCCTGTATAGATTAACATGGTTATGTCTATGAAAAGATAAAGATGGTTTAAGATTAAAGCTCTTATTTGACTTCCAACATGATCAAAACAATATTCTCCTAAGGCAAGAAGAGTAAACCTATTCCCAACTAGTCAACAAACATAAATAGGGAGTATCATTGGCCATTGTCAAACATACAGGGGTTAAAGTTATTTCAATCCACTGCGGTCAGAATAAACCTTTTTCCTCATGTTCATAAACTGGATAGTAAAATAGTGATCTTATTTAATGATATGTGGGAATGAGTTTGTATTAGTTGAACTAGGACTTGTAGAATGTAGTTTTCCATTTTTGTTATTAGTGCCCTAATACCCAACACTGATACAAAGCCACATGCTAGATGCAGGCATTAAAAGTACACATCTAATCATTCCGGAAACCAGTGTTACATGTGTATAGTTGGTTATTACAGTTTGATTTCATATCTCATTATGATTACTTTTAAGATCTTTACGGCCATAAGAAGCAGAGAGAAAATTAGAAACAGATATGAATTAGCAGTAATAGCCACAATTAATTTAAAGTTACACAAAAGGTTGATCCAAAAGAATGACCTAAAAAGAACGTATTGGTACCTTACCTCACCAGAGTGTCATCATTGTTATTTTATCTTTTCTTGTGTTTCCAGTTGCCACTTATCTATGCCTGAATCTTTATTTCAATTGTGTTCGTTGTTCAAAATTATTTCTTCTTCACAATCAAAATTATGGTAGGCTGGTAGCTGAGAGAAAGTAGATCTTATCTGTCAATACTTCAGTGCTAATTTTAAAATTATAACTTACTTGTTGGGAAAGTACATCATGTCCTGTAATTTTAAAGCTGTAAAATTTATCTCCTCTAGTTCTACGCATAAATGGACAGTAAGTTTGGATATCCTCCAATGATCATTCTCCGCTCTTCCTTCATCCAAATATGAATAAGCCCAATCAGACATGGGCATGGGCATGAATCCAATTCCTACATCCAGAGGATCCCATGATAGTCCAAATCCTTGTTTAGGATAAACCTATGTGATAATGCCTTCCTTCTTAAGCATTGGTCTAGAGATCACTTCATTGTGCACAACTTAACTCCATATAATGAACTTACAAAGACTACTAGAGCTCATTGACACTTTTAAAAAGAAATAAGCTATTAAGGTCATGACACAATTTGATTTGTCCAGAACGAACATGAATCAGAGAGCTGGTAGCCTTGGGGAGAAAGTGAGTGAGCTTTTGCAGGCAATGATCATAATCAATATGGCCAATCAATTTATCCAAGACTTAAGTAAAAGAGCATATAATTCAATGAACAACAGAGATTCAACCGATATGAAAATCAATGACAAAAATATCAGTAAAAGCAAGTAGTCTAACACTTCCCAAAGTCCAAAAATAAAATAGTATCTAAACAATTTCATTATCTGCATACCTGTTTGTGGCTAGAACACAAATGGTATGAACTTGTACCTAACTTTACTGGCATACTCAGAATAACTCTCTCCAAAAGTCTCAACCATTAAAACCTCCTCCAATTTTGCTTTCTTCTCATAATACATTAAACAAACTGCTACAACAAATAGTGAGCTCAGAGGTGCTCTAAGTGCAACACAATAAGTTGCGAACAAAAGCATTGTAGATGCATATATTGGATGCCGAACCCATCTGTATGGCCCAAATTGAACGACAGCAGTTGGTACCACTACCTTCTCTGAATACTTTGCAAGATACAATGTTGAATTATATTGCATCAATAAAGTTGCCACAACCAATATCCAAACTACAACATTGCTCCAACCACCTGGAATTCGATGCAGTTCTGGCCCTTCAAATGCAGCAAGCCAGTGCCCAACCATGACTCCAACACAGAACACAAGGCGATACCATTTGGGCGGGTTCACATCCCACTTAGGATCATGTGGACGAGCATAATAATCTCCATACAATCTTTTTCTTACACTAACATTGAAGAAAAAGAAATAATGGTATACAAAGAAGAAGACAAAGGGCCAACCTTCGAGATAGCCATTGAAACATGCAGGGGGTACTAGAGTTAGCCAAGTGAACACTGAAGTAACAATAGCGAGTTGCTCTATAATGCTTGCTTCGCCAATTGAATGCTTTCGAAAACAATATAAACCATAAAAAGCAAGGGCCACAGCTACAAACCATGGCCAGAAAACCCAACTCCAGCTAAAATACATCCAAAAGAAAGGGTTGAAGACCAAATTCACAGTCCATTTAGTAGCTGCAATTGCTATGGAAACTATACCAGCCCATTTGATAATCTTTATAGGGGTCAACTGAGAAAGACTTGTTTTGAGAGAATCAAAGGAGAGGTTTCTGAAGGGTTTTAACAAAGGGTTTTGAGAATCTGAGCTAGTGGTGTTGGAAAATGTGCATCTGAGAGGAACCAAAAAATGGGTTCTTGTTTTCCGAAGTGGTGATGGTGATGGGTATGATGCAAGATTGAAACTTGAAGGGTTTTGGATGGGTTTGAGGCTCTGGTGAGAAAAAAAACCATTGCTTTGACAATGTTTGTTGAAATGCCTGCCAGAAACCATTCGGTTGCCTTTCGAATTGAAGCTGAATGGAATTGTTCTTGAGTGCAGTAGCACTGAGGCAGTTTCCATGGATTGTTTTGAACAAGAAAGCTTCAAAACTTTTATGGAAATCTAAGGTAAAACATATCTCTCTTCTTTTTCTTCAAAGATAAAATGGAGAAAGCACAAGTTTAGTTTAAGCTTCTGCACCCATTGGCAATTCGCAGATTAGTAGCAGGTAAGATGGATCCTCCGCCCAATTCCTAATTTAGGAAAATGGGCACATCTCATTGCAATGGCCCAATATGTTTTGGGCACAATGGCCCAATTTGTTTTCTTGGGTAAACCAACGGCCCAAATTTTTATCAAATAATTTTGCATTATTGATAATTAAATGGATAAAATTCTCTTACCCTTTAACTTTTAATTATAATTTCATACAAATTCAAAAATTTTCAAAACGAACAATAAGATTCAAATATGTAAACACTATTAACAGAAAATATGAAATAACTAAAATACTTTTGTTTCTCCCATTTTTATGACATAGAGCACCCTAGAGAAAGATTTTTTTACAAGAGAAAAAAAGTTAAAATGAAAAATTATAATTTATATAAAAATAATTTTTAAAACTAATAAAGAGTAAATTTATCTTTTTAATATTACCACATCATCAAATTAAAATATTAATGGTTGAAAAATCTGAACTTATGTATCTAGTAAAAAATATTTTTTTGAAATCGACTGTCCAATTCGAAAATTAATAAACCCGTTTAGAATTATAGTTAAAAGTTAGAAAGTAAGAGAATTTTACTTTAATTAAATATTTAATATTTATCCAATAAAATTTTGCTAATATTTGATCATTAGAATTAAACATTATTTTCTCTTTTTAAGTGTAATTAACACTATACATTAATTTAACAAATATGGATACTTATCTAAATAAAAAAAAGATTTTTATATATAAAAGTGCTTCAAATTTGCATGAAAATAAGTTCTTAAAATACAAGTGATCTCTACTCAAAAATTCTAAAGGTTGTCACATTATCATTTTAATAAAATAAAATTAGTTCTTAATCACCGTTAATTAGTACTTATCCTATACTAGTAAAATAATTTGGCAAAAATGAAAAAAGAACAGCCTATTCAAATGAGAAAACAATAACAATTAAAGCTTTATTATTAATACTTTTAATTGAATTAGACAAGAAAAATAAAAGATATAATACTTTAAAAAGTCTTTTAATTATAAAAAAAAATTAAATAAATCTTTATTTTGTTACTAATTTTAATTAAATTTTATATTTTTTATTTTAAATTAAATAATTTTTAATCAATAATTAATTAATTATTATTTATTAAAAATTTAAAATTTATTTATTATTTTATATTCACGTGATATTAATATAACGAATAAAAATATTATATAATTATATTATTGTATCACATCGATATATTATTTCAATATCATATAACATGAAAAATAACAAAAACTATATTGACGAAAACCGCTTTATTATATTAAATAAAATTGTCGAAAAGTGTTTCGTAACTGGTCATAAAAAGACAAAATTCAATGATGTAGCAATCGGGTTACATATCTAAAAACGGCATTTAGAAGGTTAGTTCACTCCTTTCCATCGCCTAGTCATAAGTAAACATGAAACGGGGATTTTCTTCTATGATAAATGTCTATCTTAAGCTATCAAAAAGTCAATTGTGTCGTATCTTATTGAGAAGGAATTGACATTGCTCGACTTGTACCTCAAAGGAAGGAGTATTCTATGAAGGCAAGACTTAAAAGAACATTAGAATTAATTTGATAATTAATTATTAATTGTAATAATTTATTTGAGTTAAAATAAAAATATAAAATTTTAATTAAATATAATAAAAAGAACAAAATCTTATTTATTTATTTTTAAATGATTTAAGAGTTTTACGTAAAAAGTAACTGTAATTCCTTTTTTTATTCAAATTAAAAAATTTTTTAATAATTAATTAGTTATTTATTCTTTTGTCAAAGTCTCATACAGAAACCATGGGCTGGCTGGCTGGCTCTTGTTTGCCAAGGAAATCTAGGAATAAGAACCTAGCTCATTTACTGACCTCAATACAATCACAAACTAGACCACGAAAATTCGTTAACATAAGCATCAAATATCTCGCGCCCAAACAAGCCGTATATATCATCTTCCTTCCCCAAACAAAACCCATTTTTTTTTTCTCCAGCTTAAATCCAACCCAAAACCCTACTACACCAAAAAAAAAAAAAAAGAAAAACACTAACGTTATTTACTGGATTGTTTCTTTGATTAAATCCATTTTTGATTGGTAATCATCAGATTCTTTTTTCGACCATAATAATACTTTAATTCCTTAAATCATCAAAATATGATCTTTTCTAAGCTAGGCCGTTCATATTCCCGATCTTCTCGTCTAAGGGTAAGTCATTTATTTTTTTCCGATTAAATTTTCTTAGTTCAATTTTTTTATAATTTTTTGAGCCTTTTTTTTTACAAAATTTATTTGTTGAATAGAATTTGTTGTATCGTGGCGGAGGCGGTGGCAGTACCGGAGGGAGGTCGCCAAGGTTGAGCGGAAACGTAGATGGACTAAATAGGGAATTAGGGTTTTTGAGAGGTTATCTAACTTCGATAGGAGCTCGAAAGGAGTTTTGTTCCAAGTCTTATTTATCAGATTTAAATTTCGTTCTTGCTAACCCTAGAATCCGTCGCTTTTTCTCAAGTGAAGCCCCAAAGAAGAAGAGTAAGCCAATATCTCCTTTTTGTATTTTTTTTTTTGTTTTTCAATATTCTAGGTAATAAATTGTTTAATACTAATTGTTAGTGAATGTTACCTTTGTTAGATTTTGCTAACGAAATTGAATTATTTTCTTTTTAAAATTTATAATTTGGAGGGAGATGTAATAAATTCTTCTTCTTATTGTTTTAGGGTAAATGGCTTGTTCTTTAGTGCTAAGCAAGTTTAGAGATTAGCATTTTGGAGAATTTTACATTGAGTTTTCATAGTTACATTTGATGAGTTAATGAAGATATAGGGTTTAGCATTTTTATATTTGCATTGGTTTGAACTTAGTTGTTACTGTTTCTTCTTGTTTTTAAGATGATTTTCTTTTTTGCAGATTATGAGAACTTTTACCCTAAGGAAAAGAAGGAAACTCCAAAGCAAAATGACCAAAAATCTGACTCCAAAGGTGAGTACATACCTCCCTCCCTCTTTGTTTTCAATTTATAAATGCGTTTTTTGAGCCAGTTTTTCAATGTGGGAGTGGAAAAATCAATTTGTCAAGATGTTCCCAAGATATCGGTTTTAAATTCTTTTCTAATAGAAAAAATGCTGTTTATATTCCGTCCCTAGAACAGTTAGGATTGGGGAAAATGAATTGTGGTGCCATTTATTATAAAGCTAAAGACAATAGTAGTATTATCTTTCAGGACTGTAGTTCTATGTAGTTTTCCCTTTACAATCATGTGACATGAGAAGCTTAAAGATTGGATGGAATGATCTCTTCTAGGATGTTTGTCTCAGCCCTGCAAGTTTTTACTATGTTTGCAGTGGCTTATTAAAGTATGGTACTAAGACTACCAATTTTTTGCTATTTTCCTTTGTACGAGTATTGTCTATAAATCTACCTCTAGGTTGCCTGCAAGATATCTTACAACGAATTTTTACAATTCTTCTTACTTTGTTTTTGTTTCCAATTCAGAGAATTCCAACACAGGTGACCAAGGGAATTTCCAGGAAATGTTCCTAAAGCTTTTCCAAAATTTAATCAGCCCTTTGTTAGTGATTGCACTGTTACTTTCTTACTCTCCTTTGAGTGCCAGTGAGCAGCAACAAGTAAGTGGTGCCCAAATATTTTAGCTTGTTTGATTGTCTGCATAGTTATGTGGGTTAACCTTGACTTTGATTTGATAATTATCCTTCCAATGCTATAAGACTCTTCATATTTTGAGGTTAGGAAATTAGATTGTAATAGAATTTTGAGTCATAATTACAAATGTTATAAGCATATGGTAAAAAGCCTGTTTGTTTTCTTTGTATTGACTTTGTAATTGTTTACTGCATTTTTAATGAAATCATTTTATTGGAAAATATGTTTTGAAGCATCTGCATCTGTGATATATATGGTTTTGGTTTCTGGATTCTGGAATTGGGAATTATGTGGATTAAAATATTAGCCTCTCAGGATTGAGTTGAATGTCACCAACATGAGTTAACTCAATGCTGGGATTGGGAACCTTTTCAAGTTTTGTGGTTGCGCTTCATTTGATACTTAACCGAACTGAACTCATTCAACTCATCTAAGCTGCATTATGGGACTGAATTTTTTTTTAATTGCATTTCTAAATCAATGGAGAGGCTTTATGAGCAAAGGTAACTCCTTTTCTAACCTATTTGTGGTAAAGCTACTTACTTGTCTAGAGTCTATATGCACTACTTGAGCTGCTTATGATGCTTGTCTTGGAGCTCTGTCCAACTTTCTTGAAAATTGAGTTGTATGGTGGATTGTGTTTCATCCGTATTTGGGATCAGTTTTAGACTTCTCATACTTGCTTGACATATCCTTTTGGTGATATTGTCTTGAGGATCTTTTAAGTGCACCATTCTGACTCAACCATGTGACATAGTATAGACTATCACTGACCAGTTTGGAATTTTTTTTTTTTCATTTGTCCACATTAGTTTGGTATTGAAATATAAGCAGTTTTATCTATTTTCTAAGCTTTTGTTCCTATGCTGTGGAACTCTTTTCTTGCAGATTAGTTTCCAAGAATTCAAAAACAAGCTTTTAGAACCAGGTTTAGTCGACCATATAGTTGTTTCTAATAAGTCAGTTGCAAAAGTGTATGTGAGAAGCACGCCATACAATCAAACAAGTGATGATGTCGTCCAAGGGCCTGTCGATGGTACTTCTGCTAGAGGACATGGAGGTCAATATAAATACTACTTCAATATTGGAAGTGTTGAGTCTTTTGAGGAGAAGTTGGAAGAAGCCCAAGAAGCATTACGGATTGACCCACACGATTATGTTCCTGTGACATACGTCTCTGAATTGATGTGGTACCAGGAGTTGATGAGGTTTGCACCAACATTATTAGTTCTTGGAACCCTTGCATTTATGGGGCGTAGAATGCAAGGGGGATTGGGTGTTGGAGGAGGTGGTGGTAAGGGTGCCCGTGGAATTTTCAACATAGGGAAAGCCCATGTAACCAAAGTGGATAAAAATTCCAAGAATAAGGTTAGTTTCTGTTCCTTATACTAGTGCTTAAAAAGAAACACCTGAATCTGAAAAAATTTCGCAGTTTTTTTTTTTTTTATGTTTTATTACCTAAACTTATGGAGCTGCTTTAGCTTTATGTTGCTAGAAATGGAATGGTACTAAAGTGTTATATTCCTCTCTTTCCTGTTTCTGGCACTCCAGGTCTATTTCAAAGATGTAGCTGGCTGTGATGAGGCCAAACAAGAGATCATGGAGTTTGTGCACTTCCTTAAGAACCCGAAGAAATATGAGGAACTAGGAGCAAAAATTCCAAAAGGTGCTCTTTTGGTTGGCCCTCCAGGTACAGGAAAGACCCTCCTAGCAAAAGCAACTGCTGGTGAGTCGGGTGTACCTTTTCTATCTATATCAGGTTCTGATTTCATGGAGATGTTTGTTGGTGTTGGACCATCCAGGGTGAGGAACTTGTTCCAAGAAGCAAGGCAATGTGCTCCTAGTATAATATTTATTGATGAGATTGATGCAATTGGTCGAGCAAGAGGCCGTGGAGGCTTCTCAGGCTCTAATGATGAGCGTGAAAGTACGCTTAATCAATTGCTGGTAGAAATGGATGGCTTTGGAACCACTTCGGGAGTAGTTGTGATTGCTGGTACTAATAGGCCTGATATTTTAGACAAAGCTCTACTGAGGCCAGGGCGATTTGATCGTCAGATTTCAATAGATAAACCTGATATTAAAGGACGTGAACAAATATTTCAGATCTACTTGAAAAAAATAAGGCTTGATAATGAACCATCATTTTACTCTCAAAGACTTGCTGCTCTCACTCCTGGATTTGCTGGAGCAGACATTGCAAATGTTTGTAATGAAGCTGCTCTAATTGCTGCAAGGAGTGAAGGGACACAGGTCACGATGGAACATTTTGAGGCTGCTATAGACAGGATCATCGGTGGTCTGGAGAAGAAGAACAGGGTAATTATCTCTTGTCTATGTGATTAATCTAATACTTACTTTTCTGTGGTTGTCTTTATATTGATGGCAGTATATCTATTGTCCTTGAGAAGATTGAAATGAAGTCTTATTCATGTTCACTTTTGTATGTTGTCGGTGGGAAAACACAAACTGCAACTTCTTTCAGTTAAACATTGCCTTTTTCCTGGTCATTAATATGTAATGGTGATCTTTGCATTGCATTTTATGTTCAGAGATAAATAACTTTATATCGGCTTTTTGTGCATGGCCTTCTTATTTTCTTATACCCTAATAACCCTGTTCTTCTGGGTTTCATGCAGGTAATAAGCAAACTCGAACGAAAGACTGTTGCTTATCATGAATCAGGTCATGCTGTTGCTGGCTGGTTCCTGGAGCATGCTGAACCCCTCTTGAAGGTGACAATTGTTCCTCGTGGAACAGCAGCACTTGGGTTTGCCCAGTATGTTCCAAATGAAAACCTTCTCATGACAAAGGAGCAGCTTTTTGATATGACTTGCATGACCCTTGGTGGTCGAGCAGCTGAACAGGTAAATTTCAAATTTACTATTCCATATGACTCTGGGTGGGGTGCAAATGGAGAAAAAGTATTCTTGAAAATAGTTGACTTCAGTGCTCCCCAATGGTTGTTATTTATTCACTCAGCCAATATTCTATCATTAGGGCATTTTTGCTCGCCATCCTTGTGAATGAAACTGGAAAGGGAAAATTAAATATGAAATGTGAAAATTGCATCCAGTCTTTCAATGACGATGGGTATATATATTGAGTTTTTTTGTTCTTCTTTTAATTCATGATCAGGTTTTGCTGGGAAAGATATCAACAGGAGCACAAAATGACTTGGAAAAGGTGACTAAGATGACCTATGCCCAGGTGGCAGTTTATGGTTTTAGCGAGAAGGTAGGTCTCCTCTCTTTCCCTCAAAGGGATGATGGATTTGAGATGTCGAAGCCCTATAGCAATAAGACAGGGGCTATCATAGATGGTGAAGTTCGAGAGTGGGTAGGCAAGGCATATGAGAAAACTGTCCAACTTATAGAGGAACATAAGGAGCAAGTAGCTGAGATTGCTGAGTTGTTGCTTGAAAAGGAAGTTCTTCACCAAGACGATTTGGTTCGAGTTTTGGGTGAAAGACCATTCAAATCAAGTGAACTTACAAACTATGACAGATTTAAGCAAGGGTTTGAAGAAGAAGCGAATAAGAGCATGCAAGCCCCTGAGGTTGGAAGTGTGGAAAATGATGGATCAGCACCCCTTGATCCTCAGGTTGTCCCCACTTGATCATTGGGGTTTTTGTTATTGTACATTAAGTTCATAAATTGTTTCTGATTTTTCCTTAACACAAATTTTTTTTTCTTTGTTCAATTGCCATTAATGATCTTCTTCAGTTGTATATCATTTACGTTGGCATTACTCATTTCATTTCATGGATACCTAGTGAGCTTATTAGGCGAGACTCCTCTTTAACCAAAACTAAGCCTTAATATAGCAATAGTGCAAACAAACAAACGGTAAAGTTTGGAGGCCAAAAGGGGAGATGATGCGTGAAGGTAATTTGTTTTATTCTTCCTTCCGTACAGCATCAAACGTGTTGCAAATGCAATTTTAATAATAAAAAAGAAAGAAAAAAGTAAATATAAACAAAACGTGTTATATTATTCTATTTCAGTTCATTAGTCAGACACGTGATTAAACCTTGATTCTATTATCTTAATGAGATGATGTAAAGGCAAACGCATCACAGGCAGCCCCTATCCAGCTAGTCATATTCCTTTGTATTTCAGGTGGAAACTTGACAAAAGTGTCAATATCTAGAAAATGATGAAAGGAAAATTTAACTAATTAAAAAGAAAATTTAATATGCTCTTAATTAGAACAATTCCTACTACACGAAAAATTAGTTGAATTCCATGCCTCAAAAATCTTTTATACTTTCTTTTAAGTCATAACCATTTCACACTAGTATTTTTTTTATGCCTCAATTATAGCTTATGGAATATGATAATTATTTCTAGGGGTTGAAGAAATAAGTCATTATGAACATGCTTGATGAAAGACACATTTTTTTTTCTTCATAATTCATTTAAGAAATGCACATTCATGTTACATGTATACACATAAATTGTAAGTTAATCCTTCAAAGCAAAAAACACTTGTTAAAAGTAATTCAAGCGTTATGCTTGCAAAAGAAAATTTTATTGGCAAAATTCAGTGAAAATGGCTTCGAGGTTAAATAGTGTTGGCAAATTCCATTTGGAAGGAAAATGTTTTCAATTTGTCAGAAACATTTATGAAATGAATGAGAGTACCAAAGGCCTGGAAATGAGCTCCCAACTTTTCTTGTCAAAGCTGGGGGATTGTGACCAGGGAAACGGTTGTACCTAACCCTTGCAAAAACCAAAGAACTGTTAAAGGGGTCTTTGTTTTAACTGTCGTTCTCAACTTTGTCCTGGAAGGTCAAAAAGATGTTGCCAGTCAGTGGTCTCGCACACCCTTTTCATACTCTAGGACCCAATCAAACGGCAGGATTCATATGAGTTTCCTGTCTCTTTCCTTGACGATGTTTTGATTTCTATGGCTTTCTTATGCCCTATATAAACCCCCATCTGCACTCTCTTGTGATGTATCTTCGTATTGTAGTTTTGATATATCCTTCTCATTCTCATTGCCAATTTGTTCAAAGTTTACTTGGGCTTTCATTTCGTTCAGGTGTCAAGTTCAGGTTCTTATTAGTTCTTAAGGTTGGTATGGTTGTGTTTTTTGCTGATATTTTCTGATAAGTTTGGAGGTCACCGATCAATCTGTCAGTGTGCGCCTACCTATTTGGATTGATGAACAAGTGGCTATCAAAAGTGCAGGTTTTTCATACCTGTAACTTTGGTCGTTGCGAATCTTTGTGATTGTTGCCATGGAAACATTTGGCAGTGAGAGGTTGTGATTGCAGCCAGGTGCTGCAGCAAACTCTATTGCGAAATATATCCGGGCAGAAACATTTAATAAAGCTGCAAATGGAATTGCCTTTTCCGGCAGAACAGCCAAAGAATTTCTCTACCTCTTGCTGCCTCCCATGCTCTCCCTGTTGAACAAAGCTTTGTGGAGAACATCTTATTTAACTATAAGACTATGCTTTTGATGCTGATAGAGCTAACTCAGTCGGTGAGATTTAAAAAAAAAAACAGTTGTGATATTAGCAGCTTTTTCAATTTCTTTTTTTTTTTTTTTTCATTTTGCAGATCAAAATGGAGTATGAAAACAAGTATCAGCATGTTCCAGCGGCAAAATACGAGTGTCTTCTCTTTGGTAAGTCTTTCTGCAGTATCAGATCCTTGTAATTCTCAAGACTGGAAAACCATTGCAATATGTCACTAACAATTCTGAATATATTTTCTGTCAGATGTGGATGATACCCTTTATCCTCTGAGTTCTGGTTTATCCAAGGCATGCACCAAGAATATCGAAGGTGTTGCATACCCGATTTTCTAGTTCCCAATATGTTTGCTAATTGGGTTTTCTTTTCTCTTTTCTCTTTCATACACATTATATATTCTTTCTGCTTTCAATTGTGCAGAATTCATGATTCAAAAGCTTGGAATAGAAGGAAACAAAGTCACAGAGATTAATCGCGTGCTATACAAAAATTATGGGACATCAATGGCTGGTCTCAGGGTAAAGTCTTGACTCTTTTTCGGTTGATTATAATGGTTCCAAAACTATGATGACGGTATATGAGTATTATTGTGTTTGTTCATATGCAGGCTGTTGGCTATAACTTTGACCATGATGACTACCATAGCTTTGTTCATGGGAGATTACCGTACGAGAACCTGAAACCTGATCCTGTCATGAGGAGTCTTTTGCTTAGCTTGCCAATTCGCAAAGTTGTAAGTTTCATTGCCTCAAAACAAGGTCAACTTATTATTCATTCATCTGGAAACATGTTTGTCATCATCATTGAATTCTTTTCCCTTCCTTTCTGAAACAGATATTCTCAAACGGGGATAAGGTCCATGTGGCTAAAGTTCTAAGGAAACTTGGCTTGGAGGATTGCTTTGAAAGGGTTATAAGCTTTGAGACACTTAACCCCACTAATGGAAGCAGTACTTCAGATGGAGAAGACAGCTTGAAGTTGAGAGGCTTAAGTTCTGAAATTCTTGATGCCACCAATTGCCCTTGCCAATCAGCACTTCCAGAAACCCCAATAATCTGCAAACCATTTGAAAATGCATTTGAACAAGCCTTCAATATAGCTAACATCAACCCTCAAAAAACAGTAAGATAAATCAATTCTTCTCCAGGAAAATTACTGCACAAATAATCAGCTGCTGTATATTTAGCTTTCATTTAAGGTCTTTAGGATTATAAACGAGGCTCTGATGAATTCTTTGATCTAACAACCCTTTCTCCCTCTTTGCAGCTCTTCTTTGACGATAGCGTCCGCAACATACAAACAGGAAAACAAATAGGCCTCCACACTGTGTTGGTAAGTTGTTACAGAATGTAGAGATAACTCCAGGAAGACTTGTATTTTCAGATTCTTGCAGAACTGATAGTTTGATTTTTACTCACATCCAATGCAGGTGGGCACTTCCCAGAGAACAAATGGAGCAGATTATGCATTAGAGAGCATACACAACATCAGGGAAGCACTCCCAGAGCTGTGGGAAGCAGATAACAAGAAATCAGAAGGTGTCAGGTATTCTGGAGAGGTTGCAATCCAGACATCAGTGATGGCCTAGCTGCTTCCTGATCAACAGCAAAATGTCAAGATCAAAATTTCACAAAATTCCAACAATCCCTCTAACATTTTGTGGTGTAGATTTGTGTCCACAGCCACTTTTTGTCCTCAGTGTGGAATTTGTATCTTTCACTTTAACCATCAATAAAGAGTATCTTTTCTTGATTCAGGTGGCTGCAACTTTTGGACTTTTCTTTTCTTATTTCCGTGTCTTGCAATCTGGGCTACACCGACCATCTGCTCCACTTTATCTTGTCTCTGAAATGTTAATAATTGAAATATACTAAACAAATTTACTGCATTATGAAAAAGCAGACTTTTTAATTTCCCTTTCCTGCCCTCAAGTTAAGAATAAAATATGTGAAGTGTTTAACAAAGTATTATTCTTGCATAATATTTAAAACAATTTTTAAATTATTTTAAAAAAATTTTATTATTTCAATCAAATTTTTATTTTTCGCATTTGTAGTCAATTAAGCTGTTACAACGGTGGTGTTAATGTGTATTAAATAGTAACATGACATATTAATACACATCATATTTTTTCTTTTTCATGTTAATGTTATGTTATATAATATTTTTTATTTTTGATGTTAATATCTGATTAATATTACATAAATATAAAAATTTAATTAAATATAATAAAAGAATTTATTTAAAATTTTTTTAAAATATTACACTTATTATCGAAAATATTAATTCTATACCTATCAAAAGAAAAATATTAATTCTATAAATCTAAAATGAGGGGCTTTAGAAATAACGTAAGCAAACCTTCAAAAAAAAAAACAAACGACGTTATGGGTGATTTATTATGTGGCAAACCATGTGGGCTTGGTGCGACATGTGTCGACAAGAACCCATCATTAGTTCGACTTTAATCGGACGCATCGACTCCCCAACATGTCACGTTTTGGTTGGACCACGTCAGCTCCAGCTTAATTTTTTTGTTTTTTTTGCGGTTCCTTCTAGATCGTGACTTCTCTCTGTATTTCTCTCCATTTCTTTTCTTTCTCCCAACGCTTCCTTAAACGACCTCCCTAGCCCCTCAACACCACTCCCCCACCATTTAATGCCTTCTTGAACGCCATTGTTCCTCCCTTGCTTCTCCCTTTCCTCTCATTTTTTTCTTCATTTATTTTTGCTTTAATTAATTAAAAAGATTTAAAGGTTCTGTTTTTCTTACAGTCTCGATTACTTCGGATGCGGTAATGTTCGATTCTTTACATGTTTTGTTCTTGTTATTATCTTCTCTTTTCAGTTGAGTTTTGAGTTTGTTTGATGCTACATTTTTTCTTTCGTGTCGATTAAGGTTGTTTTCTTTTGGTTAATGTTTACGTATTTGATGTTTCAATGTGTTTTCTGTCATCTGGATATTTAAGAGAATGATGAAATCTCTGTCTGAATTTGGGGTTTGTTGCATCAATGCAAAAACTATTTTGCTGATAAAAATGTTTGTTTTTCTTCCCTACCTGAAATGGAAGAATTTTTTTTTTTAAATTTTTGAAGATTTTTGAATCTTTGTTTTGGGTTATGCCTGAATTTGTAGAAGAATTTAATTATTTTCTTGGTACAACTCTTTTTGAAGATAAAAAATGGATTATGAAGATCAGATCAATCAGGCCATTGACCCAAAATATGAATGTCTTGTATTTGGTAAATTTCTTATCTTTCTTTTTTAACATACATCTCTTAATATGTAAAAATCCAAACTTTTCTAAGCTAATCATTATAATTTGTTTCATTTTTTGCCTTGAACCATTGTAAACAAACTTACAGATCTAGATGACACTCTTTATCCTCTGACTTCTGGTTTGTCAAGGGAAGTTACCAGGAACATTCAAGGTATTGTTACTGTTTTGTTGAAGGGTCTCACTATTTTGACAATTTGTTAGCTTCCTATTGAAATTCATAGCCTTTTTTTTTTATAATTTTTTTTCTGGATACCCTTTTCAAGAATATATGCTCAAGACGCTTGGAATGGAGGAGGAAAAGGTTCATGAATTATGTGTTTCACTGTACAAGTATTATGGTACAACAATGGCTGGTTTAAAGGTAAAGGTTATCATAACATTCTTCGGAATATGAAGCTCTTTTGAGAATGTTTGAACTATAGAAAGATGACATTTTTTTTCTTCTTCAGGCTATTGGCTACGACTTTGATTATGATGATTTTCACGGGTACAGAGTTTTCTACCATTCATCCTTTTATCTTTCGATGAGTTTATAAATGGGATATTGGTCTTACTTATTCCTGTCTTACAGTTTTGTTCATGGGAGATTGCCCTATACGATGCTAAAACCTGACCCTGTTTTAAGGAGTCTATTGCTTAGCCTACCTATTCGGAAAGTTGTAAGATCTCCTAGCCCTTCACATGAATTACCATTTGTGATCATCTAGAGCCTCTCTTGTGACTATGTTCTGGTCTTGTCTACAGATTTTCACGAACGCAGATAAGAACCATGCTGCCAGGGTGCTTAACAGGTTGGGATTGGAGGGCTGCTTCGAAGGGATTATATGCTTTGAGACTCTGAATCCCGCAAACAAAGTCAACTCTTCTGCTGATGGTGCAAGATTCTTCTCAAAAGCCGGAGTTTTTGACGTCAGTAGCTACAGTGCTCGTCCTGATTCTCACCTCGACCTTCCAAGTACTCCAGTTGTCTGCAAACCATTTGAAAAAGCATTTGAACAAGTTTTCGAGATTGCCAACATCAACCCCCAGAAAACGGTAAATTAATCGAACTTTTTACTTTTCAGACTATCCAATTGAGTCTAAAAACTATTGTAGTGATTTTGAATTACTTCTACTGATGTTATGATGTCTTGCTTTTGCAGTTGTTCTTTGATGACAGCATCCGCAATCTACAGTCTGGTAAAAATATGGGCCTTCACACCGTGTGGGTAAGCTACTGAATAACTAATAACAAACAAATTTGCTGCCTGGTGATTCTTCCGTTTGGTTTTGCCTTTTTCCATAATTGGTTTGAGAATGGTTTTCCTCACTAGTTTCCCATGATATGCAATAGGTGGGAACTTCTCACCGAACGGACGGTGTGGATTATGCCTTGGAGAGCATTCACAATATCAGAGAAGCATTGCCGGAGCTCTGGGAAGCAGATGAGAAGGCTGAGAACATCCGGTATTCTGGGAAGGTTTCTGTTGAGACAACAGTTAGAGCTTAGCTCTTAGACCATACGTATTTGGTGGGCCTTCGTTATTCTCTTTGTAACATGTAAACAGAGTGGATCTTTGAAATAAAATTTTAGTGCCTTATTTAATAAAATTTGTCACTTTCCCAACTTTGATAGTGGATGGTTGTATGACTGCTAGCATTTTGACCTGTTATGGACAGCCTTGAAAATGGCCAACATAAATGTCCTTATCTTCCATCCCCCTACTCGTTTAAGCAAAAGGAACAATTAAACCATTATCTTTCATATGGAAATTATCTCATTTATGGTTAATATGGATATGGGAGACAAAGCTGTGTTGTATTCTTGACATATACACCTCAATCAAGGGAAATAAAAAGAACCCTTATCAAGTTTCTGGTGTGTCAATCTGGTTAACATTTAATAGCATCTTGGAGAATTCATGTTTCATATTCAAAGGAGCTTATGTACGTACAAAACAAAGCAACTAATGAGATAGAACACATAGATCATGTCAGGGCAAAAGGCAACTGCATCTGGGAGGGGGAAGAACGAAAGGAGAAAAAACATAATCCACATCTATGTCAAAAAACTGCTGATTTTCAACTTTATATATACCTAAATTTAAATAACTTGTTTATATACCCTTGCAAGTCTGTTGTACCCTTGACATTTGAACCATTCAAGTGCCCTGTGCCCATACCAATTTTTTGAATCAACTGAACATAATTAGTTAATTATTCAGTGGCAAAAAACCCTAAAGAAGTTTCTGAGCCCTTTTGGGCATCGGTCTTCAATGAACAAAAATGGTCTATTTGAAATCTCAACGGATGGACCACAGAAAAGTTTGAATGCGGTCATCCTCTCAGTGAATACTTTTTCCCTGTGAAGGCTTGAAACTTTGGTTCTTCCTCTTTAGGCGGCTCTCTACCGTTCTTCATGGCAACCTACAGAAAAAGCCAAAGATATAAATTGACTTTTTTGGCAAGTAAAACAAGAATTCTTAAAATATGTAAGTGAATGAATTCAGAGACTTCTACCATTAAACTAGTATAGAGCAACGTACTTTTGTTGTTTCCTTTGGGGGCTGACCTCCATTCGAACCAAACACAAGCTTTCCAGCGTGTTGACTTGAAGTAGAGCTTGAGGACTTGGAAGCAACAGTTTCATTGCCAGCATTTGAATTATGTTGTTTAAGCAAGGAAGAGACAGGCAGTGCAGCTGGTTGTGTCAAGGGTTTGCCATCCAAGCGCCTTGCTGAACCACTGAACGGGCTAAACTTAGTAACTTTTTTAGGTGGCTCTTCTTCAGCTGAAATATTGGTAGCGAGGTCATTTGTTGAATGGATTATTAGTAAATTTAATAGTTAATTTCAACCATGAAATTTTTTTTCCGAGAAACTAAAAACCGAAAAGAATAAGAGGAACAAACCTTCAGGTGGCATCCTTTTTGACCTTAGAGAGGGAACTGGCTTTTCAGGTTCTTTATAATCAAGAGGAGGGGCAAAGTCCACCTCACAATCAGTTTCAATAATACTGACTGCAGGGGAAGGTTTTGTTTCAACTATATTAATATAATACTTTTTATTGTTATAAGGGACCATGATAGTGTCACCAGTAGTTAAGCAAGAGTAACTCCTCAGTGTAGTTTCCAGGCTGCAAGCAAGCACAGAAAAGAAGGAATTTAAGAAATGAATGCAGATCATTGTATTTGCTACTCATAAGAAATAGCCATGAAGATAAACTAACATTGCTTTCGGGTTGGAGATGTCTAAGAAGTCCATAGTGTGGGGCTGCAGCTTCACATAGGTTCCCTTTGCTAAGCTAGCATTTTTCACCTGCACAATATCTCCCTCTTGGAGGAGCATGTTCTCCATCATCTGAAAACAAAAATGGAGGGTAAGCAAGCAGAACAAAATCAACAAACACCATCTCTAAATCACGATATTAAAAGAATAAGGACAAGTAAAAACCATACCCAGTATGGTAAGTATATCATGCCTTCATCTGCAACGAACTCCAAAACCCCACAATGAGAAACTCGCTCAACAGGAGCATTAGTCAACTCAAACAACATTGGGTATTCGACATGCAGTGATGCTGGATAGCAAGATTGTCGTTAATATCAGGATAAAACAAGGCTAGCATTTGCATGTATTAACAGGGATAAAAGAAGGAAGTTGAGTCATCTAGTTACCAAGCCGATCAAGAGCTGAGGGAGGCATAATAGCTGGAAATAACAAGCAATCCTGATAATTAGTCAATTGCCTTGAAAATTACATTTGGACTAATCAGAGTGAGGAAGGGAAAGATAGAGCGAGAGGCATGGTGAAGAAGATCAACATACCTTTATCCCCCTTCTCCAGATGTGCCTGCAAATACTTAAACAAATTAGAATCAAAGTGGAATGAAACCTCATGGAACAACCAAGAGCACTTTACTGGGATGATTCTACACCTCAATCAACCAAAGAAGACAATAAAAGAGTGCATGAGATCATCTACAGAATGCAGTAATAAAAGTTTAACCAACAAAAGCCCTTTTTCTCCCTGTCCTGTATTCAAGTTGTAATCCTCTAACCTTGTCAATGAAAGAGACAGGGTAACATCGATAACATTGTTCAAATGTTGAATTACCACGGTCCTGCAATAAAAAAAAAAAGAAAAAGAAAAAAGATTAATTAACTGAGAATAATCACAATTATATGACAACCATAACCTACGCTAGGGGCAGCCTACTAGTTTGTCAAGCTAAACAGAATATCTTTCAAGCTTTTGATCTATTCCGGGAAATACCGCTACAACCGGTTATGATCAGTTAATGAAAAAGTAAAACCTAGTCATAGAAACAAATTGTTAAAATTATTATGATCAACGATCACATTGTTGTGATGAATCAATACTATCCAAACCAAACTGCCATTGGCTTTCTAAATTATATCAGATGACCATAAAAAACACACACCAAACGAGAAAGAAAATAAATATAAATCACTAAACATACCATGATCACAAAGTTTTGAGTTCAATAACTTCTTCCAACAAGATCACCAGAAAATCTGCCATAAAAGAAGAAAGTCAATAAATCAAACAGATAAGTGATACATTAATGAAAAAATGAACAAAACCGAGTTCCCATCATGATCTACCAAAACAACTGATTTAATACAAACGATCGACACTTTAACATGCAAGAACAATCCCATCAAGCAACAAGGATTCTGAAAAATAAACAAAAAAAGGCCCAGTTTTGAGAAAGGTGAAAAGATAAGACAGAAAGCTAGAAAGAGGGAACATTGTGAATCAGATGAAGACAAACATGTGAAAATAAAAATGGGTTTTGGGTTTTTGATTGAAAGTTGAAACCTTTGATTTGTTGTCTTTGATGGGTGAAGAAGACGATTGCCAAATTTCGCGTTTATATTGAAAACTCTTTGCTTCTCTTTTCTTGGCGTTCAGGGTGATTTATAATGGATGGCTTTTTCTTCTTCTACTACCTTAGGTCCTACTGAAATTAAATTAGGAGAGTTTTTTGTCACGGATCATTACTTAATTTCAATCCAGGCGGCTTTAAGGTTTAAAAATAACATTTAAATAAGTTTATAAATTACTATAAATCATTGGTTTATATTAAGCTCTAAAAATAAAATTTAAATAATTCTATAAAGTACAAATTTATATTCTTAATTCAAAAGACATGTATGATAAGTGATGAAAAATTCATGTTTATATATTAAAGATTCATCCTGATATCTTATTGACGTAAAATTTATAACATTCTACTTCATCTATATTTATATATATATAAGATCACCTTATTTCTTACTAACATGAGATTTATGACATTCTACCTCATTTATGTTTATATATTTAAAACTCACCCCATCTTTTATTAATATAAAATATATGATATATTATCTTACCTAATTATGCAATGCTCTTATTACACTGGTTCTTTATTTGTAAAAAAGAGAGATTTTTGCATTAATCCAACTCTACTTCGACCCTTATATCTCTCATAAGGTCCTATATTAGTGAAAATTTGAATCTACTCTAATATTACTTATCGCGGGAAAAAACTTATAAATTACATACTCATATTCTTAACCTAAAATATATACCTAATAAGTGATAGAAGACCAATATTTATATATCCAAAATCTATCTCATCTTTTACTGATATGAGATCCATGATTTTTCGGTGGATTCTTTCAGAGAAAGGATTAATATTTGTTCTATTCCATTAGTAATAATTAGTAATAAGGGAAGAATTCAGCTCAGAAGAAAAAAGAGAAGCAGATCTATTCTATACCCGATAAGTATCAATACGCAACGGGGGTTGATCCTATTTTTTATGAATGAATGCTTCTTCTATCCTTATTTAAAAAATGAAAATTAGTTTTTAATTATTTTCTTTTGTATCCAACATCAAGATCACTCTATGTTTTTTCTAATTTATATGATTCTTTTTTTTCCTTCATTTATAAAACTTCTTATACTTCTAGGTCTATTAATTTGCTTAATTTACATGATAAAAACTACATAAAGTATAATATTAAGAGAAGTTAATGAAGATAAAAAAATTTTATTGAGTAGAGAAAAAATGATTAAATCTCGAGAAAACATTTAATTAAAACCTAACTAAGTATTGGTATCATATGAAATTTGAGCTTAATAAATGATCTTGATTAATTTTAAATTTTATAGAATTTTTTTTGCCTAGTACATTATGAATAACTTTTAATTTGGTAAAGATTAAACTATTAATCTACCTAATAAAATTATGAAAATATTTGTAATTTAAATTAATTTATTTATTCACATACATTATTTAAAAAGTTAATAATATAAAAAGTGTAGGTAAAATTTATGGTTAAAAAAAAATATGAATGCAATTTGCAATTGCAATGGCGGGGCTCAGTGGGCCTAGCTTTTGGGCCCTAAAAGTCTCAATTCAAGTCAGCCTAGGAACGAGCAATTGGCAGCCCTAAATCAAACTCTTTTAGGAAAACAAAACAAAACAAAATCGTCCTCCCCTAACCCTCGTTTTCCCTTGTTCTGTTTCCCTCTTACAACACTGCAGCGACAGAAAAAAGAGAAATTTAACAAAAAAAAAATTAATTATTTTTACTTCAAAGCTTCAAAGCTCTTTATTTAATCTTGGAGGGAAATTCGGCGGCTAAAATGGCGAAGCGAGAGCTCTCCAGTACTTTGAGGGGCTTGAAGGTAAACCAACAGAACGAAGCTTATTCTTTCGTTCAAGTTTTTGTTTTTGTTTTTTTTTTCTTTCTTTTTTTTTGGGTTTTTGGCTTGAATTTTTGTTATACCAACTTGATCTTTGAGCTGTTTTTCGCTTTAACTTATCCGAGTATTTATCGTTTTGTTGATTTTCCTTTGAATTTGTAGTGATAATTCTTTTTTGTGATTATGGAGATCCTTGAGTTTCTTATATAGCTACTTGAGATTTGAACTAGGCCTTGTGTTAATTCATCTGGGATTCCTTTATTTTCTTGATTTTTTTTCTTTTCAAGTTGAAAAATTTTGAATCTTTAACTTATATGGGCTTTATTTATTTAATGCAATAATAGTTCATGCAAAGGGCAGCTCAGAGAGAGGAGAAAGTTAAGAAAGAAGAAGACGTTAATCCTGAAGGGAGTAATACTATTACTAGAAAATGGTACAAAAATCCCACCTTTTTTTTTTTTTTTAATTATCTTAAATCTGTTAAGAGTATTAAGTATTCTTCTTCAGTTACTATATGCAATGAGCCTTTGACGTTAGTGTGCTTCCAATATGATTCTATGATTACACACACACGCGAGGACAGAGATACAAATAGGTCATACTTTATACATAAATGAACTTATGCTTTAAGGTCAGAGGGAAGAACGGCCAATGTGTTTTTGTTTCCTCAGAATTGAAGATTCTTGCAATGCAGATCATTGAAATAGGGATGGGGCCTTTTTAGTGTTCAAATAGGAATATGGGGGGCTAGCAGCATATTGCCAATCTAGTAGGGATGCTGATCATTGCAATGCCTCCAGTATCTGGTGGTCAATCTTGGTTCCCCCCCAATCTGCAGAAAGCAGAATTATTTGTGTAGATTTAAAATAGAAAACAAAGAAGGGATCCCTGATAAATGGATTTTATAGGGTGCAACCACTTGTGAGATCTGCTCATTTGTTTCTGGTTTTTTCCTCATTTTAATTTGTTTAATTCTAATTCTGTATTTGCATACATTCAGTGTGGTCATTATGGAAGGGGATCCCCATCCAGGAGCTATTGTAGGACGGATGTCATTTCAAAGTTTCAATCCTTCTATTGATGTGAGTATAAAGGTCAAGTGAACTAAGAATTTTTCCCAATGACTATTCACCTTCTGTGCTTCTCTCATGGCTTGTGCCCTCATGTAAAAGCCTTGTCTTGGTAGAAACTGAATGAGGATGCATCAAATGTGTGTCAGCCGGATGCCTCTGGTGGAAGAACGTTGTCTAGGTGGGTATGTTATTTTAAATTTTAACAGGTCTTGTGTTAATGTCCAGGTAATTTCCTGAAAGTTTTTGACGATTATTATGCACTTTGTGCTGGAATTCATAAATTCTTGTCTTAAGAAATGAAAGATTTTAATCAAAATGATTAACTCTTGAAAGGAAACATTTAGTCAATGGAAGAAATATAGGCATGTTAAGTTGGAAATGCTAGTCTTATGTAGCTTTACTTCAGATGGTAGGGTAAGTTGAAATGAGCACATGTCTGCAAAATATGCATACATTTAATCTTACTTTTTGCCCTTGGATTGTGACAGTGAACATAGATCTGAATCTGAAGGAGCTGACTGCTCGAGGGTCCGAACATATAAATACGAAGGTAATGGAGACCTTAAAAGAAAACAGTCTGACATGGTTTCTGAACCTGAGTATGCAAATAAATCACCAAAAAATGGTCATGGAGTTCAATCGTCACCAAGCAGCAGTAAAGCCTCCTCCCAAAAGCAGTCAAAGCGTGAGAAGCTGGACTGGAAACTTCTTAGGCCACCAAAGTCTAAGAGGTGATTATAATTAGGAAAATTATGTTCTGTGAGTACATTAATACTTATTTCCAGGTTCCTATAATTAAATATGTAACCTTGTTGTCATATTATTGAAGCTCAGCTTTCTTAACTTCTCAAATTGCTTAAGTTAATTTACTCTCTTTCTCCCCCCACCCTGTCTGCTAAGCTTGAGACTCTTGTGAAGCAGTTTAAGTTGATTTACTCGAGAAGAAGCCAAGAACTTGATTTACAATGCTCAAAAAGATTGAATGAGCTTGGAGCTGTTTGTCTGCTTGTGCTGAATTTGCTCTCGAGAATACCTGCATGCTGTGAAACAACAAACAATAAGTAAAGTATTTGTGGTGCCACTACAATGTCTTCCGTCCAACACATATGGCTATATGAAAGTTATTTGGTTTCCATCTTTTAGTAGTTTCAATTATTTGAAATACTGTGAGCCCTCTCATGTCATCTTTCCCTAAATCTAACTGCTTCACTTGCCTTCGGGCGCTGAGTGTGTTTCGATGATCGTAAAAGGATTGTCATCTTATCTCCATCATACCTGCATCTGATAATGATGTATGTAATCAGGGAAATGGTAAAGCTAAAAGATCTGCCACGGCAGGTTGCAGTGAGAATTGCAATGGGTTTCCTCAAAATTGCGAATTTTATTTCCAGGTAACTTTTGGTGTATGCTTATTTAAAGCACAGCCTTTCGAGACAGTCTTCTAGTCGATCCCTGGAAAGTCACTTCCCCCCAACCATCCGGAAAGGGAAAGAAAGAAAAGGAAAGGATTTGTTACCTTCCTACTTGTTTTGAATGCAATTGAATTCATTTAAAATAGTACATTAGAATTAAGAGTTAATGAGACACACATCCAACCTTTACTTCTAGGGGTTGATATTTTACAACTACACCAAATAGAATGGTAAGCCTACTGAATAATGTGATATGGCTTCGGAACAAAATGGCTAGAGAAACTAATCTGTGGAACCATTACTCCTCATCACAGTTAATTCCGGACAGGTTTCCAACATGTAAGGCCATAAATAACTCTGCCCTTCCATCCCTGCAGCATCCAGCGGCCATCCACATCTACAACAAAATCCCTGTGATAATTTGATCGCACCAAATTCGTCACTTTCTTCAACAGCTCCTGATCCAATGGAACCTGCTTGAACCCTGCCCTCATAGTCCTAGCCTGCCATTGCTTGTATGTCTCTGGCCTTTCAACCCTCTCAGTGCCCTCGCATGCAATCACATTCATAATGTCCCTCCCAATCACCTCTTTCTCAAACATCATCCTCTGCGGATCTTCCCGAGAAACATTGGCTTCAAATATATCGAACTGAGCAGAGAAATGGAAGAGAGCCTCTCGGAACCTTGTGACGAAGAAGGGAGCGTTATATGTTCCGTTTGCGGCCCCATGGATGAATAATTGAGGATTGATGCTTCTGATCAATTTCAGAACAGTGTCCCTCGCACTGGTTGGCGCCACTGTGTCATCTGGGAGGTTCTTTAGCCGATACATGCAGTTGACGACGACCACTTCATCTTTATCAATCCTTAGTTCCTCAAGTTGGATGGTTTCCCATTTCTTTGCTATCACGTTGTACTCAAATGGGACCTGGAATCTCTCACAATACCGTTTCAAGCGACGCCCAGTCTCTTCCACCCTTTCTGCAGGTCGGAAACCTGGTTGTGGAAACTCGATACCAGTAATACGAAGCTTGGGAGGTCCATTAGCCCTTGCTGAGAGACGCTGGATGAGGCACGGCCATTGAAACCCATAACAAATACCAAAATCAACGATATGGAGCGTCGTTGCCTTTTCTGCCACTTGCATTATCTTTTTATTTGCGTAAAAATTTGACATTTTCTTGAAGGGGCAAGCTAAAACATAAACTCCGTAAGCTTTTAGGACGTCAGCAGCCGAGGTCCTGTTGCTCAGCAGAGGTAAATACGATGGTGCCCCATTGCCAGCCAAACGCGTCTTAAGGGCATTAGCAAAGTAATGTGCCAATCTTTGGGTTCCATCTCCAGAAGCAGAAGAGTGCTGTCTTACCTGTTTCAGCAGCTCGTTGGCAGTCCTTTGGTCATTGATGGTCACAGCTTGTGCACATTGAGTAAGGAGACTCCACAAATCCACCACTTCACTTTTCTTATCGTTTTTCTTTCTGCGTGTTGTTCCAACGTTAGACCATTTTAGCTGCAAGTTCCCATTGAGAGAACTTCTTGGAGAGTCATCATTTTCACCTTTGCAGAGCAGTACATCGTCGAACATATCTGACTGATCTGAATCTTCAAGAGAAATTGCAGATTGCTTGTTGCTCCTACCTTCTTCCAAATAATCATCGTCCTCACGCTGATAATTTTTCCTTCCCCTTGTCCCTGATGGTGATTGATACCTTCCATCAGAAACTGAAGGCCTTGATAGGTTGCTTTCTGGAGCCAAAAGCACCTTATCACCATTGAGAGAGGACTTACTTGCTTCTCCAATCCCTGTTCTGAAGTGCCTAAAAGACTCTAAGGTGGTCTCTCTTTGTAAATCTGGCACTAAAAAGGTTCTTTCAAGAGAATCAATAAGAGAAGTTTGAATGTAAGAGGACTTGACTTCACCTGGCCTATTTTTCCCACTCGATTCAACCAAGGTGGTGGCAGTAGTATAGCTGTTACTGCTACCAATACTTGATCTCTCGGTCAGATTATCATCTAGGTAGTAGCCATTTTGACCGGTACAAGGAGAGAGACGATCGGCTGAAAGTGGATACTCGTGGCCAAGGACTTCATAGAAGGATTTTTCAGCAGCTTGGAGAGCTAAGCAATCCTGCAACATACAGGTCTTTTCATCTATGTCTTCTTCCATTAGCATCTCATTGATGTACTTGAGCATTTCATTGGCAAAAGGAATATTGTCGAGAGGATGTCCGTCTGAACTCACGCCTGATGATGAAGCTGAATCAAAAGGAGAGTCTGGACTAGTCGGAAGGGAAGGTGGATTTGGAACGATTCGCTCAGGGCTCTCTTTAAACCCATTAACAAGGTTGTGATTTGAATACACCGGCACTGAACCATGATCAAATTTGAACCCATACATGGAACTAGGAAAATCTTGGAAAAGGGTATCCATAGAAAGTTAGAAACCTATCTGATACAACAAGACCCGACTACCCTCCTGCTGATTGCCAAGAATCCTGAGGAAAACTAGAAGAGAAAATGAATATTTCAAAGATCGGAAAGAAGAAGTTAGTTGGCTGAACAGTAATTGAAGAGATATAAATGAAAGAATTGAATGAACCAACCAACACCGAAAAGAAAGAGTAGTCAAAGGAGCTAAGCAGAGAACCTGGATAATTCCATAGTTTCAAGAAACAAGAACTGCAGATGCTCTTCCCTTATAAAGGTCAAGCTGTCGAGCATTCTGAACGAACCTTCTGGGAAAGTAGAGTCACGACAGAGCAGCCGCCACCTTGTACTCACCGTTTCGAGACAGATTTTAGTGCCCCTGGAGTCAAGGAGGAAACTTATAGTTAAATTGACTTACTGGAACAAAAGTTGCTTAGTGCACAAGAGATTTGACCAGGTGGGAACGCAGAGTTGCCTTGGCATCGTGAACGTTGGTCAGAGGTGGCACGTTGTGTCCCACGACAATGACCCGATTTAGATTTTTTTGTTCTTTTCCTATTAAATATAAAATCAATGAAATCACTTCGAAACGTGATAAAGTTAAAGTCACTTTGAAGAAAATATCCCGTGATGCTAGAGACGAGATAAGAAAAACTGACATATAACTGGTTGCCTTTCGATATTTTCCTCTCATAAATTATTTTATTATTCTTCAGTTAGGTAAGACCGTTGTGGACCTATCACCTGAAGCCATCGGCACCTCTCCCCTGTCTTTCTTCTCTGTATGGAACCTCGGGTAGCGTTCTCCTTTACATTTCTATGGTGACCAGGTATTTTCTCTCTGATACTAGTATTTTGATAGGTGTCCCAACCCCATAATTCCCATGGAACGTGCTCATCAAGATCTTAAAACAATGTAATATTATTATGAATATATATAAGTATGTATATGTGTGTGACACATAGAAGATTTTAAATTTATATAATATGATTTAAAAACATTTAATATCATTTTAAGTATTTTAGAAAAAATAAATAAATTATTTTAATTTTATATGAAGTAAGTGAAAGAGCCTTGAGAAACTTATAAGTGTGTGTATGGTATACCTTATCAAGTTAATCTTTTAAAAAATTATTAAGAATTTGTGACAAAATATTATGAGAGTCGATTCAATTTAAACTTAATCCATATCAATCACCTCTAGAAAGGAGGTAAGTGGGGTTGTTGAAAGCATCAATAATGTCATTAGAAGTGTAGAATGTGACATCAAGGATTTCAAAAAAAAAAAAGTAGAATATTTCATCACGCATCAAATTTTGTAAAATTTATAAAATATAATATTGAATATCTTATTAAGTTAACCTTTTTAAGAGAAGATAATAATCTTAATACTTCGAACATTTGAAAAATATAAGTAAATTGTAGTTGCTCCTTGTCAATTTCCATACAACAAGATGTAATGAAAAGAGTGGAGGCATATTGGCTGCTTTTACATCAAGGCGTGCATAAGGGAGAAGCAAGGGATTTCAATTTGCTCATGAGTAAGAATAGATTCTTGTTGCTCAATTATTGCCAAAAAAAGGCTTAGATTCAATGCTATCTCTAAGCTTTTTATCGTCCCATCTCGTTGCTAGCTGTATTCTAATTTCGCTCGAAGCTTAAAGTCGATAAGTGGAGTAAAATGGGCTAAAAAGTAAACAATGAAGTTGGAAATTGGCATTGACCTCTTCTACACTTCAATCAATGTGGCTGACTAATTGCTGCTTAATTTGTTTTCAATCAAATTCGAAAAAATAGGACAAGTCAATTCCAAGGCCGATTCAGTGAATCTGATTAACTTTGTTTCACCTTTGTTTTTTATTCCCTTTCTTGTTTTCTATGCACCCAATCATCAACCAACTCTGCATTGGATTGTCGTTTGACGACCGGACTAGAGCTGACAGGGAAAGGCATTAACGTTTGTTTATAGCCTCCGAGCAAGGAAAAGTAACCCCAAATAATTGTGGCCTTGACAGATGGGATTGGGTCAAAGCTTAATAAACAGAAACGACCAACAAGAATATTAATCCAATTTTTAAATTTATTTAAAGTAATCCATGAAAAAGATCTGTTAGATAGACCAGATTCATTCCATCTTCACCCGAAAGGAAGTATCTCTTGCATTTCCTGAGATGCTGAGACCTTTTTCTTATAATTATAATAATAGTTGGATTCCCTCATCACTTCTTTTGGATTTTCCATTTTGTTTTTAGCTTCCTAATACTTAATCTAGGCGTTTCTTTGCAATAATGTACCATAGCCTAAGGAGTAACTTGAATTGATGTTGAGGGTGTGAAAGGGGGTTATTCTATTTACTACGGGGAAGTGCATAGTGTCTTCTTTTTCCCCACTTCTCTTGGATGCTCTTCAGAGATGCTAAGTAGCTTCACTGCAAATTTCTTGCAGGGTCTTAGAGAGAGAAAACTGCTGCTGAACATGGGTTTGATTACTTATCTGATACGTGGATTGTAGAATGGTGCAACTCAGGAGTCATGACATGAATCGCGTCTGTGGCTTGAACTTTTCCAATTTTCCTAACTAATAAGAAAAATTGCCTACAGTGTCTATATTTGGCTTGGAAAATTAGCAAGATTCTAGAGTCTGTTGTGAAGCATGTTCTAAATTGAAACAGGTTTTCTTGACTCTAGAGGAATTTTGGTCTAAGCTGTATTGCTCATTTGGCACTAATAAGACGGTAATGTTCAATGAAACAGACTAAAAATGAAGTTTAATGAAGTTTTCATTTCCTTTCTAGGCAAAAGGGCCAGGGAAGCGCCTTTCTTCTTCCCCTTCTTTGAATGTTCTTACGCAAGAAAGGTAGGCGATTAATGTGAAAGAAAAATTTTGTTCTGATTAATTTGTATTTAATTAACCCGAACTGCTTATTAATCAAACAGATTTGGCTTGGAGAAGTGTCCCGAGCTATTTTGGAAGAGGTGAACTATAAAGGGTAGGTGCTAGGCCTGGTTTCCAGGATTCCTAGAGAAACAGAAACAGGGCGTCAGGGCCTACTATCAAGAATGAGGTATTACATGTTCTTTTCTTGCCTGGAAGCAATTTTTTTGGGTTTTTTTTTTTGTCTGATAAGCTATTTTACTTTCACGGCATAGATTTCCTTGGTACAGAAAATTTCATTTATATTAGAAGGAATGAATTAACATATTAAGAGCTAAGCAGAGTAGTGCTTTGCTTTTTGATTGGCAAAAACTATGAACAGAATTGGACCTAGCTCATTTGTCATGTTACTTATTAGAGACAGGAGACCCTGTCACTCCTGGACAGGTTTCCAGCAAGAAAGAGCATGGATTACTCTCCCCTTCCATCCTTGAAGAATCCACTGGCCGTCCACCTCAATAGCAAAATCCTCATGGTAGTTTGATTTCATCACTGCCCGAGCCCTATTCAATAACTTTTGGTCTAAACGAAGCTGCCTGAACCCAGCTTTCTGGTTCCTGAACTGCCACTGCTTGTATGTTTCTGGTCTGTCAATTCTCTCCAGCCCCTCATATGCAATAACGTTCATAACATCCCTTCCAAACATTTCTCTTTCAAGCAGCAATCTGTCTGGATCTTCACGAGGTACATTAGCCTCCAGCATGTCAAATATTGCTGAGAAGTGGAAGAACGCCTCTCGAAACCGTGTGACAAAAAATGGGACATTGTAACTACCATTAACAACTCCATGGATGAAAAGATCTGGATTAATTCTCTTGATTAACTTTAGAACAATGTTCCTTGGACTGTTTAATACCACTGAGTCATCAGGCAGATTCCTTAGCCTGTACATACAATTAACAACAATCAACTCATCTCTTTCGATCTTTAGATCCTCAACTCGGACAAATTCCCATCTCTTCGCTATGGCGTTGTACTCAAATGGGACATCAACATTCTCACAACATCTTCTTAAACGACGGCCTGTTGCTTCAATTCTTTCTGCAGGCCTAAACCCTGGTTGGGGAAAGTCAATTCCCGATATGCGAAGCTTAGGAGGCCCACCACGCCTTGTTGAGAGACGCTGAATAAGGCAGGGCCATTGAAAACCATAGGAAATGCCGAAATCAATAAGGTGGACTGTTGTTGCCTTTTCTGCTAGCTTTGCAATGTTTCGATTTGCAAATAAATTTGATATCCTCCTGAAAGGGCAAGCTGAAACATATAAAATATAGGCTTTTAAGATATCAGAAGCCAAAGTGCCATTACTTGGAATTGGGGTATACAGCGGTGCCCCGGTGCCTTTCAAGCGTACCTCTAGACCATTGGCAAAGTAATGAGCCAACCTTTCGGTTCCATCTCCAAAAGGAGAAGAGTGTCGCCTAATCTTACCGAGTAGCTCAGTTGCAGCTCTTTGGTCATAGATGGCCACATCTTGTGCGCATTGAGATAGGAGACTCCACAAATCCACCATTTCCTTTCCATTCCCTTGTTTCTTTGCACGGCTTTTTCTACTGCTATCCCCTTTCACCTGTCCGCTATCTTGCAACGTCCTGTTTGCTCTATTTTGTGAGGCTTCATAAAGAGGACATGACACATTCCCACCCTTAACAAGGAAAACCTCATCGAACACGTGTTCCTCAGACGAGTCCTCTTCAGTAATTAACGCAAATTGCTTATTGTTCCTCGTTTCTTCCAAGGAATCCTCAAATTCCCGTGGATGATTTTTCCTTCCCATTGATCCGTGTGAAATGTGCTTCCACACTTCCTTCTCTGCTTCCCTGTCTTCCACCCCTTTCTGTAGCTCTGGTAGCTTAAATGTGTTACTCTCCACAGACTCAGAAGGCAGTATCTCACCACATAAACGTGGTAAATATGAGGAAAGTTCAGTAGTGTAATTACTAGAACTTTGCATCAATGGGGAATCCAAGCCATGTTGATGATAATTCCAGCTTGATTCCACCATATTGTTAGCAGCAGCCTGGCTATCATTGCCATCAGCTCTGTTGCTGCAGATAACGGGATCATATGGGCACACGTTGTCTACATCAATATCTTGATGGAAATGATCAGGTAAAGGGGGATATTTCTGAACTAGAACATCATAGAAAGATTTCTCCGCAGCTTGGAGAGCTAAACAGTCCTGCAACATGCAGGGTCTACCCTCCACGTCTTCTTCCATAAGCACATCATTTATGAACTTTAACACAGCGTCGGAAAAATCAAGGTTGTCACCACCGTATGGAGAATCTCCATCTGATGAGTTCGAACCTACAGATGAAGCTACATGGCCAGGATGGTTTGATTTGGCTGGATCCACCAATATGTTACTAGGATTGGATCCATCAACAGGATTCTGGTTTAGAATGACTACTTCTGAGCCATTGTTTTGGAGAA